ATCGTCGAACGCAGCACGTAAGCTGCGGGATTCGCGGCGTGTCCGATGGCGGCAAAAGGTGATTAACGATTCGTGACACGTGGGAATTCGTGTACGACCGATGTTTGTCGGCCCGTGCGTCTCGACGAACGTGTCGTTTATGGAAACGATCGTCCGGCACCATTTTCGGAGTTATCGAAATACTGACTGACCGAGCAGCGATCCTAAAGTAAACATTTCTCGTACAAGCTCCTTGACACGGTGTTAATATTAGTTAGTTGGTGACCTTCCAAATAGCGACCGGGGTATTTGTAAACTGGCTTCACGAACGATACACCGAGCCGATAGTTACCGGTAAATATCGAGTGATTTCGAACGATTTTAATCGTTGTCATGGCACCTGCCGTTACTCTGGACTGGTCAGAGCCACGCCAACACTGGCGTTACCCGAAATTCTGCCCGTCCGGGCAACAGAAACACGAGAGGGCCAAGAGCGCGATGGAATTGAGCAGCAAAGAGGCGAACACGGCGTACAAAAAATTTTGCAAGTTCCTGAGACGACTGAGCAGCAAGAAACGTAAGTTGTCACGGTTTCCAGCGACGAAAAATGATCATCTTTTTGGGGAGATTTTGGATGAAACGCTGGTACAGCGTGTTCAGATGGTTCAGGAATAAAAATTAATTAAGAAAATTTCGAAGATCTCGGTTGGAAATGAATTATTAAGCTCAAATTCGTATACGTCATACACTATTTCTTTAATTGATATGGATTTTTTAATTTTCTAAGTTTCTGGTCTCCTAAGAAAATCTCGACAATATGCTTCGTTCAGAAAAAGAAAATTCTAATTTAAATGCATTTAACAATGATTTTGTGCGTCTTATGATACTTTTCTGTTTCTATTTTTTTAATACAGTTATGTACCCTGTAATTTATATTATAAAATTGAAATTTATTTGTGTTTCAAGACTGGATCTCAGCGTGTTTTAATGAAACATTTATATGTTATGAGTTATCTGATGATCGAAAACAGCGATTCTGCTCGTTCTCCTTGAATCTCCCATTCATCATACACTACATTGATACTCGGTTTCAGGATGTTTTCGAGGCGAGCGTGAATAATGTATGCGACGTTTCCGCGCAAACTTTTAATAACTTTTAATTTCGTCCCGTGCGACAGGAATATTTTAAAGTCTAATGAACTCGGATGCTATCGACGAATTATTCAGTGGCGACAGTTTATTTTCAGTCTTGTTATCCAATATCTGAGCATACTTTTTGTTGCTTTTTCCGTTCGAATCAGTCGGCAAAAACAGACTGTTTCTTTTTCTTTTTTTAGACAAGTTAAAAAAAAACATTCGAGCCAGCAATTTTTTACAAACCTACGATATTAACCCCTTACCGAAAAATTTACGTAACGCCAAAATGAAAGATAAAAATTTCGCGGAACGAAAAGTTATATATTTTTGTAAGACGTAGATATTCTACAAGGAAGAAAGACGCGGCGTTATAATTTCTCTAAGAATCATAATAGATTCTGACATTTGGATTCAAAGAGGTGCGATTGTTCCAAGAAAAACACCGTCTCGGTCTTGTGATTCGAAGATCCGTGATTCGAATCGCGTCAATTTATTTACACGCCAATTTTCTCTATGTTTATCGAATGCTCCATTTTCTGCAAGATGCGCCATTTAACCGAGAAAGGTTAGAAACGCGAAACACACAAGAAAGAAGAATTGTTCAACGAGAAGTAATACACCGACCCACTGACATTTATCCGTTGTTATTCATATTTATTTTTGTTATGTACATCTGCCCACGTGAATTTATTTTTTCATTCGTCAAGAACGAGCTACGTCAACTCCGACATGTAGAAAAGAAAGAAAGAAAGGGTAAAAACAGGGAAAAAGTTTAAATTCGCCCTCTCTTAGGTGTTCTCGATCAATCTTTATCCTCTTGGCACGTGTGCAGGGATTCTCAGTCTTTCTGACACGAATGTTTTTATCGTATGACATAGTTTCATTATCTCGAGTGAATCATCAAGGTGTTCACTGATTAATTGTTCCTTAGTGATACGTAATTCTTCTATTTTTTTTTCTTTAATTACACAACTACTTTATCGATAAGAATAATCAGTTAGATTACTCAACTCTTCTCCAAAAAAGAAAAAAATAATGTTTCGATGGAAAATTTGAATTTTCTTTCTACAAGGTTTACTCACATCCGGTGTTCCGATCACGCAGAACTTTCCGCGAAGATTACGCCATCGAAGTTCCTTGCAACTGTTCAAATATGCATGCCCGTTCGAAAGAGCGAGTTCTTCATGGTGCATACTCGACCCGTATAGCCACCGTAGCACGAGAACACCGGTTATTGCGAAAGTATTCTCGTAATGTCATTTAAATATTATACGGCTGCTAAGACGAAGAATGGAATTGGATGTGCCGAGGACGAAGATCAAGAATCGATGGAGCTCGTTCTTTACACGGATCGGGGTTAATCCGCGAAACGATTTGAAATACGTCAATGACACCTTTTCAAACTTTCCGCAATCAAGGCTGCCGAAAAGAGGCACTTGGATAACTAAAAATTAATCAATTTGGGTGGGAAATTTCAGAAAATTCAAAGACGACCCATAATTTTAATTTATAAAATTAATTTTCCTCGAGAAAATGTAAAAATATTGCACGCTTTTCTCATTTATTACGTGTTACATAATCCATACACCTTTTACAATTAACAGCGAATCGATGCTCATCGACGTGTATATACGCCCATGTTATAGAGGCCATTATAAAAGCCGCGCGTCACCCAGTTGGCCGCAAAATGTCACACGGTTAACACGTCGTGTTGTGCAGGTAGAAAAAAGGTCGGGAATTCTCTGATGCGCGTGTAACGCGGCAAAAGGTAGCCGGTTAACGTGCATCCGGATCCTCGGTTCACCGCTGCGCTTTTTGTTGCACGCTGGATTTAGCCGGCGCCGATCCAAGCGGACTCGACGCTCTTGCCAGAGATCGCCGTCGTTTGACCCACTTCTCAACACTCGCGTACCTAAGGGCCTCCTATTAGACGTACGGCTAAATACAATCTTTATATACCCTTTTTCGTCACGTACAGTCTCGAGCAATTAAGGTTTCTTCAGTTAAAAAGAAATTTAGGTGAAAGAATATTCCATCAAATATTGTATTTTGCTGTATTTTTTAATTGTTGAAATATTGGAAATTGTGTATTGAGAAATTTAAGCTTTTTTTGTGAAGGCAAAATACAGAGTAAGGAGTCTTCCATTATTTGGGAGATATGCCTTTGGTCTTGGGAGAATCCTAGGGGAACTTAAAAAGAGCCTAGGGGAACTTAACATAGGACCACCTGTCTTAAGAAGGTAGGAGGTAGTTAGGCAATTAGGGTACAGTGTAAGCTATTCTTTTTAGAAAGGGAAAATGCAGAATAAGGAGTCTTCCATTATTTGGGAGATATGCCTTTGGCCTTAGAAGAATTCTAGGGGAACTTAAAGAGCCTAGGGGAACTTAACTTAGGACCACCTGTCTAAAGAAGGTGGGAGGTAGTTAGGCAATTAGGATACAATGTAAGCTATTCTTTTTGGGAAGGGAAAATGCAGAATAAGGAGTCTTCCATTATTTGGGAAATATGCCTGTGGTCTTAGGAGAATTCTAGGGGAACTTAAAGAGCCTAGGGGAACTTAACTTAGGACCACCTGTCTAAAGAAGGTGGGAGGTAGTTAGGCAATTAGGATACAATGTAAGCTATTCTTTTTGGGAAGGGAAAATGCAGAATAAGGAGTCTTCCATTATTTGGGAAATATGCCTTTGGTCTTGGGAGAATCCTAGGGGAACTTAAAAAGAGCCTAGGGGGACTTAACTTAGGACCACCTGTCTTAAGAAGGTAGGAGGTAGTTAGGCAATTAGGGTACAGTGTAAGCTATTCTTTTTGGGAAGGGAAAATGCAGAATGAGGAGTCTTCCATTATTTGGGAAATATGCCTTTGGTCTTGGGAGAATCCTAGGGGAACTTAACTTAGGACCTCTTACATAAAGAACATAATGAAACCCAGGAAAGCCTACATTGCATTTGGGTGTCTACTAATTATATAATTCCATAATATTTGAAATTGCAATCAACTATTTAAATTATTTTAACAAAAATCAATTATAGTTTAAAATTATGGTGCTAACCGTATCGTACAAAACCCAATTTCTCTCACGTTTCTCTTGTAAGAAAATTTGTTAAGATGAAACGCTATTAGACTATTGCTAGCCAACGTGCAAGGATAACCTTGATAAGATGCAACGTCGGATTAACAGGAGGTCCGTGTTTACACGGACCGGTTTTCTTCTCGTTGAACCGTGGCTGAAAATAGCCAGCCATCCTGAAGCATTTCGCAGCTTCGACTCGCGAGATCCATCGAGAACGAAAATTCGATGGATGACGTGTTAAGTTGGCGTGGAAAACAGGAAACTTGGTTGTTCACTTCTTCGATCATCTTTCAAACTCTCCTCAAGTTTTGAGCAATTCCAGATCATTGATAGCAACAAACTAATTAAGAGTTTCCGGAAAAGCTAGTGGATCTTCCATTTATAACAATTTATACAAAATCATTTTACAATGAAAATTTCTTCCTAAAACCTTAATCCTTCTTAACAGTATATTTTTTAAAAATATACAAGCTTCTTAGAATCTAAATTAATTAATTCTATCTTACTAATTTTATAATATTTATTATATTATTAGGTGCAGAAATGAATTCGGTGCTTCTTCTTTATTTTAATTGAAGAAAAATATTGAAATGTAAAATAATGATTAAAATGGAGTAATACTAAAAGCACCGAATTAATTTCTACACCTAATATTGTCTCTGGTTCCTAAGCATGATAGATATTCTTTTAAATTGATTGCTTCCAATAATATTGAATAGCTGCATTTTTTTTACAATCTTTTCTTTATTAGTACTCCTTATACTTCTTACTTTCATCGTACTTTACCATGATGGTTTTCGATTGTTTCTATGGGCGGTGTGATGTATAATGCAGATAGAGATGGCAACAAAGTCACGACAGTGGTGGCTACACCAGGTGGTGGTCCAGACCGCCCCCAGGAAATCTCCTACACAGACACTAAAGTGATCGGTAATGGAAGTTTTGGTGTCGTGTACCTAGCGAAACTTTGTGACGCGGAGGAACTGGTCGCCATCAAGAAGGTTCTCCAAGACAAACGATTTAAGGTACGAAAAGAAACATCAATTTCTCTTTAAAATAAATAATCAAAGAATATTCTCAGAGTTCGTTCGATAAATTTTATTATACCAGTCCTATTTAATTTTTATCTTAAAAGATAATCGTATTTGACGAACGATGACCTAGAAACCTGAACCAAATACTAATCTCTTCGGACGATAATTTTTCTGTTTACAGAATAGAGAATTACAAATAATGCGACGTATCGAACACTGCAACATCGTGAAACTGAAATACTTCTTTTATTCCAGCGGTGATAAGGTAAATATTACAATTCCACCTGCAATGTTTGAAACTCGACTCGAAATTTTTTCGCATACGACTATTCGTGCAACGTAATTGGTCGGTGAAAACGTTTCATAATTAATTCAGAATTTATTTCCTGTATACAAACGTTTACGAGTAGCAACAATCAGATGTTCCTTGATCAATGGTTGTTACACGTGTAAACGGACCAACTTTATTCGTTGTCAGTTTAATGCATGCTACGTTGTTGTGTTATTTTGTAGAACATCTTAAACGCGACTAATCCAGTTTTTCACGTGGACGTAAGTGAATAAGAAGCGAACCCAGTAGTTTGACGGAGAGTCCTTTTACCCTAAATACAAATTAGGCATTATCGCTTGCACATGGGACCGATGAACGACAAGAGACGTGTGATCTCTCGTTTTAACGTCCGAATCGTCGATGTACACGACCTGTAGAACACTATATCCGAGTCTACAAATTATAGCCGTGGCCGAAGATTTTGATCGTTCGATGTCGCATTTCTCCCCGCAACTCTACCTTCCATCGTTACGACCGTGCTCACGTATCCTCTTAGTGCGTCAACCCTTTCGTGAACGAATTAATTCTGTTTTTTCTTAAGACTTTGTAGTTGATCTACTTTTCCCATATGTGCGGTAACTACGCAGCCTCCAACATTTATGGAAAGCATTGAAAAATACTACATGGAACCTGTTCAATAATGGATGACGAAAGAAAAATGTCCATCGACGTTTCTTGAAACAAAAAACAAAAAAAAATATATATATATGACTTCTTTTTATTCGGATGCGGATATCTTGACATTTTTCCCCCAAAAACGCATCGACGAGATATAATCTAAGTTACACACGTGCAAGTTTGAACATTACTGGACTTTAATTCATGCTTTAGGTGTTTATCGATGATCTTTGCGTTTATAGTCGTTCAGTCCGTTTCAGTTTTCAAGTTTAGATTGTTTGTAATTTTTATTTCTAGCGAATTATTCTCTTCGATTGACACGTTCAATGCCGGATGGGTCGCTGGGTGGATTCTATGTTTTCAATTGTGGTGGTAGAATTTTCTCCATCCGTTCCATATGGCACTCAACGTGTCGATTAACCATAAATCCATTTAAAAGTGAGATAAATATATTAATTTGTAAAGGCCCATAATGTTACTACTAAAGTAATTAAGTACAAGAAATTGTACCCGACGTATGTGTCTTAATTACATTCTGGATGTTGTGAATGAGAGTAGCAGGTTTGGAACAAAACAAATTGTTGCATGAAATATTTTTATTAATTCCTATAAATTGTATTGACAATTGGAGATTGAAAAAGCAAAAAAAAAAAAAAAAAAATTGCACTATTACTATGACTTAAAAGAAGTTGAACGTTCTATCAGAAAATAAAAGAATTGGATTTTCGTTGTTTCCATTAATCAAAGGGATGAACAGCAGGATAATTTCCCAAAGAAAACAATTATCCAAATGATAAAACGTTAAATTTCTGCGATTTAAATGATAGTGAGAAGCTGAAAGTAGTATAAGAAATATATGCTCGATAAGGCCATGATAAATTTCACGCAATTTGATTCTAAATTTTCTCTAGCCTGATTATAAAGTCAATGTACTTGCTAAGTTCTAATATTGAGCCAAAATCTTCGGCCTCGACTATACTAGCTAAACGCAGCTTCGCTAGTTAATAGAAGATAATCCTGTGAAGTTGTGTGTTTGCGTTTCAAAGGTACCTCACACGTAAACTTATTGCATACGTAATTCGCGCTAAATCCACCGTACGCGTTAAACTAGAGGCATAATTTGCTTGTGGATCGTGCGCCTTTGAGGAACGCACACTTTGCACGAGGATCGAGCTGAACGCAACCTTTTATTAACGATCGTAATTGCAAATTTCTTTTAGAAGGACGAGGTTTATCTGAACCTAGTGTTGGAGTACATACCCGAGACCGTGTATAAAGTCGCTCGGCATTATAACAAAAGCAAGCAGACCATACCGATCAATTTCATCAAGGTGAGTCGAAAGATAATTTATTTCTTAAGCTGCTAAAAATAATGATTCTTGATCCTAAGATGACACTTGACCGTCTGATTCGCAGAAGTGATTTTATCAAATTCTCACGTGTTAGACACACACGTTTTTCTTTATTGAACTCGTTGATACTGTTATTTAACTTTGTTTCGTACCATCTGCTGTTTGATTCGTTACGTAAGTTCTGGGTACACTGAAACTGGTTAAATTGCTTTTATAAACAGTAAAAAGTATTTGTTGCGTGAAAAAATAAACGGTACCAATGTGTGAAGTCATCGAAACGTCTCTGTCATGGTGTTCTTTCATCAGAATCGTTACTTTTCATGGTATATTATTGTTCGAACTCGATGTTAATACGTTCCTTTTATTTTCCTACAGTTGTACATGTACCAACTGTTCCGCTCTCTGGCGTATATCCACTCGTTGGGTATCTGCCACAGGGACATCAAGCCACAGAACCTACTGTTGGACCCAGAATCCGGTGTCCTGAAGCTCTGTGATTTCGGTTCGGCCAAACACCTGGTCAAAGGCGAGCCCAATGTGTCTTACATTTGCAGTCGTTACTATCGCGCGCCTGAGCTCATCTTTGGTGCCATCGATTACACCACAAAAATTGGTAAGGCTTCGGATAAGTAGTGAGACCACTGACGGACTCGGCACAAAGTTATCCTGCTATTCTTCCCCTTTTTCACTTCCCTAAATTCTAGTATATTGGATGAGAGAATGTAAGTGGATAGAGTTACTTGATCGCATTGCTAATTCACTCTAATTCTATTTTTAAGTCTAAGTTACATGGATAGAGCATTCTAGTGTTAATACCTTGAAGAAGGCAAGTAGTAGAATTACTCTCTCTAACTCAACAGCTAGCTGTAAGGTTAACTTAACATTGATAGAGCAACTGATAGAGTACACTAGTAGTAGATCAGAGTGGTAGAAGGCCAGGGATGATGTTACTCTATCACAGTATTGTCCCACTCTGTTCTACCAACGATTAGTTTCAATACTCTACCCAACCACTTACTCTATCAATGTAAACTAGGCTTAACAAAGAGATACTACTCTGTGTTCGCAGACGTATGGAGCGCAGGTTGCGTGGTGGCAGAGCTACTGCTCGGTCAACCGATTTTCCCTGGTGACAGCGGAGTGGATCAACTGGTGGAGATCATCAAGGTCCTCGGCACACCGACCCGCGACCAGATACGCGAGATGAACCCCAACTACACGGAATTCAAGTTCCCACAAATCAAGGCGCATCCGTGGCAAAAGGTAGCCGATAGTACTCTGTGTACACAAAGTTAGACTATATGAACTTCTAATCTGTAACTACGTACACGTCCTTCGTGGTATATATTCCGTCGTTTTCGTGACTAACGGAGGGAGGCTAACGCGTGGGGCAATGCGCGTTGATCTGAATTTATATATCGCAGATGGATTTTAGTGAAAAAAAGAAATTAATAAATTTGCGAACGACGGTCAGATCAGAGCGCATACCCTTGTAAAAAACAAGGATCTAAGAATGCAAAGAGAAATGATAAGGCAACTGGTAACGGTGTCACGGGGAAATAGAAGGAAATCTATGAGGGGTAAGGTTCTGTGCAATCTCGTTCCTTCAAACTGAACGGATTTGCTACACCAATCGACTATGGTCACATTCATCAACACATGTACTCGTGGTTACAGTTTATGCTTCAGCGAATGAGTGGACTAAAGTGTCCCACGGTGCACCAAAAGATTAGAGTAAGTGGTCCCTGTTGAAACACAATGTTTACTACATCACTTACTTAGCAAACGTTCCTTTTCTTCTTCTTTTTTTTCATTTTCTTTCTCTTTGTCCCATGATGATTACTAACCAATGTAACCAAAGTTTCAGCATCTGAACAGGATTATAACGTGCAATTATGGCTAAGAAGAACGACAATCTCTGAACAAAAAGGAAACTTCGTCAAACGTGTTCCTGGTTCCATAAATCCATTCTATCTCTAACATCAACCACCATCATCTTCATTCCTCATCCTAATCTTTACTAACCAACACGCAAAATCTGTTGTGATTACTCAAATTCTCAATATATCACTTACTCTAATGTTCTGGCGATGATCTACTACGGTATACAATGTCATTCATTTGTTGATTCAATGTTTTTTTTTTTATACAAAAGGGGTTAGAAACTGTGACTATCTCTAAGTTTAGACCTAAGTTTATTTTTCCTCAGTCGTTTATGTTTTTTATCTGAACACCAAGTATCCCAGTTACTCTTTTTATTGATGGTGTTATGTCAAATATGAACTCTTCCTCTAAAATTCTATTCTCTAAGTAAGATATGATCATTATTAAAGGAAAGGAAACTATGCACCGGAATAAGTTTCAGAACCGAGCATCTCATATTACTAATACTACAGTAATACATCTAATGCATTTCTCTTGTATGAACTAGAACGATACTATGCGGAACGTGTTGCTGTCACTTTATCGCTTTCTCATAGGATTTCACACAGTCTCTGTGTCGCAGTGCGAGTTCCTGTAGCCGCGACAAAGGATTTTGACTACCCAAGATCGTTTCATCGCAAATCGATCATAGTCTAACACAGTGATGGGCAAACTTTTTTAGGAGTGGGCCAAAAGACAAAAGAAAAAGTTTTAACTGGCCAATATAATTGATTAAAAAGCGCAATAAGAACTCAATAAAATAGTATAATTTTAAAATCTGCGATGGGCCGTAGTTTATCCATCACTGATCTAACACATAAGATTCATCTTCTCAATAGCCAAAATCGGTTGTCCCTGCTATAATCTTTTTGTACGAGAAGAACATCAATGAAAACGAGTGCTTTTTTCTTGAGACACAAATCTAAACGAATTCGTTTATATTTATCAATCTCTATAAAAAAATAACCCTCGTTATGGCTTTCTTCTAAGAATGGTTGTTTTGCGAGGAATATGACTAAAGTAGGATCGTGATGATTTCAGGTGTTCAGGGCACGCACGCCACCAGAAGCGATGGAACTAGTCGCTGGCCTGTTGGAGTACACACCGTCCGGACGGATCACACCGTTGGAAGCGTGTGCCCATCCATTCTTCGACGAGTTACGAGAACAGGGCACCCGGTTGCCGAACGGCCGAGAGCTTCCTCCGTTATTTAACTTTACAGAGTACGAGCTGCGAATTCAGCCGTCGTTGAACTCGATCCTAAAGCCGAAGTACATGCAGACTTCGGAGAATCCTGGAGGCCAGTCGGAACCGGTCGCGGGGTGTAGCGGTAACACTAGTGATAACGTGAGCACCAACACGCTACCGACCTCAAAGAACACAGATCCTAGCCAGTCGAACATGGCTTAAGCTGCTTTCTATTTTTACCATTATTCAGAAAATACACACACACAAGAGAGAGAGGGAGAGAGAAAAAAAATAAGAAAACCGAGAATTCACGTGTTAGATACTAGCCTTAAAAAGTACGGTAGAGAGCGAGAACCAAGAAGAGGGAAACTGATCTTCTGAGGAGGATGTCCCCGCGTACACACTTATATACATACATACATTCACACAGAGAGACATACATTTAACAAACATTAAACACATACAAGTAATCCCAGATTGTAAATTGAACTCGATGCAAATGGCGATACCGTGTGGTCTTTCAGCTTTCTTCGCTTGATACACGAATGACGAATGGTGGTCCCCTTTTGTAACGGGTTCGCCGTGGAAACACGACTCTCACAGTGGCGTACGAACGCTTGATTGCCACCTTATTGCCAAAAAAAAAAAAAAAAAAAAAAAAAAAAATTCAATTCAGTGTATATATAATATTATAGGAACTGGCCCGTAACTTCTTTAAACAATAATTGCTATATATAAATATATATATATATATAAAGAAACAAACAAAAAAAATTATATGCGAAGTTTTTTCTAGTTGAGAAGATGTGTAATCTGCACTGTGTATATAGTATACGGTGCAGACCACGTCAACGCCGCTTGCGTCGTCATTCTCATCAATTGAATACCACACACCGCGCGAGATCGAAAGAGATGAAGCCAGCTTGACACGGGTGACTAAACCGAGAATTAATCAGAGTACAGATATCGACTCGCAGGAACGTTTCGTTTGGCCAGTTAGAGAAACTCCGTTTTCTAATCGGGTGTACGAAAAGAATTCGTGCAGGTGTTTCGTTTCGAGGGGTGCTCGAAAACACTGCGTCGTGCAGATAGATATTTTATATTGTGTTCAAGATTCTACCGTGCAGAGAAGAAGAGGGTTGAAGTAGGCACGCACGTTACGTTTCACGCGGAGAATCTCAATCGAACGGTACATAAATGCGCGTACACAGCGAGAAACACACATTAGTATTTGCGTGCACAATCTCTATTTATCGTAAGGCGAATTATCACGGCTGTTGTACGGACATACACACACACACACACACACATACACACCAACTGTCGAGCGAAAGAGACCCGTGGAAGAAGGGAGAACCACGCGGACACGCGTTCCTCGTGCCTGGACGATTCGGATCCGCTATCCTCTGTACCTACCGATACTATTGCTGCTAGTAATACTCTATTCGTACGGATACCGTTACACGATCAATTCTCTGTATCTGAAACTTGCCACACGTACACACGAAACCACCTCCGTCGAGGAGGACAGGGATTTATTTTCGAATATCGTCGATCGTCCCGCTGGAAGAGAACATTTCCAACGTCGCGTCAGCGTGAACGACGACGAACAGGGGGGAAAATTGATTTGCAAACGGACAGGATAAATATTGTATGCCCAGGGAGAGAAAAGACAGAGTACAGAGTACCTCAGATATTTGACTGGCAAATGTTGGTAGAAAAAGGGAAACGATTTTTGTCCTTGGGAAATGTTGTGTAACTGAACGATATGTATAATGTACGAGGAGATTTGTACATTTGTAAACTGACGAAACAGTCTCTAAAACCTGTGCAGCTGGACCTTCGATGCATGTCGCGTGAATTAGCCGCCATTTTACCATTTCTACATATCATTGCGTCGCAAGAAAGTATAAGAAAGAGAGGCAGCCTGCCGATAGAACACAAGAGTCTGAACACGATTTGTTTCGGTTCCATTCTTTTCTTCTCTTCTTCTGTATTTTTTTTTTTTTTTTTTTTTTTTTTTTTTAACGAAAGGACGAACGTTGACAGGGAAAGAAACAAGAAAAGAGAAATGATAGACCAGAAAGAGAGAATGGTGAAGAGAGTGCGAGTGTGGAAGAGAGTGAGTGAAAGAAGTAAGTTAAAAAGCCTTGACATTCGTTTCAGAATTTTATGAATGTTGATAACGATGTAAATTAAGTTTTTAATCGATTAACTAATACCATTTATTTTTTTTTTTTTTCTGGTAAATGTACTTCGTTACTAGACGAAAGTTAGATAAATTCTTGATTTCCTTTTTTCCCTCTAGTCCGTCGAAGAACACTGAAAGAAAACGCGTTTCGTATTTGATATAAAGAGGATAATCTTGCTCTGAAGACAAGAGAGAACTTGTCCTCCTCTTCTTTTTTTATATATACATAAGTTATATTTTAATTGAAAGACAAACTGGAATTATTGTTAATCGTGGATTTATTTTTTTTTTTTTTTTTCGGACGGTGTTAATTTTCTCGCCTGAGAATCTGAAGAAATTGTTTGTTACGTTCTTACAGGAAATAATGGTCGTTCCTTCGAAACTCTTTTAATTTACTTTAGAGATGAATTTCAATTTTCTTAAAAAACGATCAGTCGACTGGCCATTATTGAACCTGCTTAAACGTACAATTTTTCCACTTGCGAAAATAATTATTTAACGTAATCGTCGATCGACGGGGGAACACGGGTGATCGAACAGAGATCGAAAAACTTGCGTGGCGCTGCTTTTTCGATATTTCAGACCGACGGAAACGATGAATTCAATGGTAGTGAACCGGATGTTCCCGATCTAGCCGTCGAAGAGAACGAGTTTTCGAGCGCATGAACGATAAACGTGAAGCGATAATGCACGGCTTGAAATATAGATTGTTGGTTATTTGTCGTAATTATTCTATTAATAAAGAAATTCATCGATTTGATTTGATTCTAAATGTTTCTCATCTTATCTCGCGGCAATTGTGTGTCGCTTGTGCTGGTTACCCGTGTGCTTTTTCAGCTGATCGAGACGCAGCTGAGATAAAGAAAGTGATCGAAAGAAGAAAGATAAATGATGCGTTATTGAAGTGAAGATGATCAATGATCGGACGAGCAAGTCACCGATGCATTGATTTCATTATTAGTTTCGCTTTTAAGGCTTCGTCGAGCACGATACAACAGGGTGTTTCATAATATGTGGGATCCATTTTAAAGTTGATGACAAAATCATTTTAACACTTTGACAATTGCACGTTTCGTTTAAATTTTGACCTCCATGATTTTATGTATCTTTTCTTTTATAAAATCTTCGATCTTCAACTTAAACTTCTAGGCAAATTGGGAATCTTTGGTTCAAGGGTCCTTCCGGAGAGTCGGCGACGCACGGTACTTAGACTCTGGACCTTGATACCGAACTTTATGTAGGCTCTCCCAAAGCTCTCCCAGGGTTCTCCTGAAACCTAAGACAAGTGGAGGGAGATTCCTTCCTTTAAACTCACCCTTAGCTAAGAAAAGCCTATGTTGCACCCTCGTGTGCATAATACAGCAAAACATATTTTGAAACACCCTGGATAATTGAAGGAGAAACGATGGTGGCGAGGCCGTGTAAAATACTGAAAATTTATATATATATGTATAAATAATTTCGTGTGTATGTGTATATATATATACCAATAGATATATACATACATATAATAAAATTGCGTACGTATAAATATATATATAAATGTGCAGATGAATTTTTATCGAGATTGTAAAGAAAGAGGAGGTCTTGAACTATAAACTCGTCATCGTTTCGCTATTACCACTGCAAGAACCATCTCATCATCTTTTTTTTTTTTTTTTATTTCTTAACCGCGTCATGTCGCGCCGTTTCGAATCATCTAGTAAATAAATTGTAATAATTATGTAAAGAAAGATTAATAAAGTAATTTAATATGTATATATATGCATATATGTATGCGTGTGTGGTGTGCATATGTATATATAACGTGAAACTCGGGCGGAAGAGCGACGTTGTAACCGATCCGGAAGGGTTCAGACACCACGGATCGGTTTTAAATGAAAACCGCGAATATTTCTTATTCGAGGATCTTTTCTTTTTCTTTTTTTTTTTGGAAGAAATTTTGAACAATGCTTCTCGAGCATAGAGTACAGAGCACGACGCTCTGATAGATAAATACTTGTTCTTAGCAAAAGAAAAATGCTACTTCTATGATGGACCACTAACTGTTTGTACTATTTACGAGATAAACTCGACAATTCTTCCGTTCAGATTGCACGTTGAACGATTGTGACAGAATAAAGTAAGCAAACAAAGGGAAAAGAAGAAATAGTATAAGCGATGTATGTTCGTTGTTGTATGCTTGAGAAAGAAACAGCTCGAATCCACGATAATTATATAGTTTATCGTTACGACAATTTTTCATTTTGTATATCATGTTTGGTTCTTCGTATCGTAGAACTGTTAGCGGCGAATAATTTAGGTGATAAATAATAATAATAATAAGAATAATAATATACGTTCGTATGTATACATCATTTTTTTTTTTTTTTGCGGAACATTTTGCGATCATTTCTGTGGCGCATAATTTAAATGATAAGAGTGATTCATTTAATACGAAATTTATCGATGAAGGGAAAAAAGAATATGAATAAAAGTTGCTTGATTCGTTCGAGCAATCGTAGAGAAGAAAATGTGTTTGTTTCATTTTTGTATCTTTTTTTTTGCTTATCTTGTAAATCGTTCCAATGAATATTTTAAAGAAAGTATGTAAAGAAAGAAAGCGGACGATGCAATAAAATTTCGTATTAAACTTCACGGTGTTGCACAGGCTCAATGTATTAATGTCGTTTGTACTCTTCAACAATTGATCTCGTTTTGTAACATCCCCTGTGTTCGTCTTTTCGTTGTAATTAATTCAAGATCGTAACGATGTAAACTTTAATCCTCGAACGACGGATATTTAAGTCCATATTGTTTTCATATTCTCTGTTTTAAATTATTCTTGAGACTTCGAAAAAATTTGATCCTTCTCCATGTTCGTTTAATTAATTAGAGGTGAAAATTGACCCAACTCCATCGTTCGAGGGTTAATTAACGATCTCGCCAATAGGTGCGACACTCGTACGATCGAGGACCTTTTACCGATTTGTAAATAAGGAAATCAGTATCGAACGATTTCTAGATCGAGGAAAATAACTTGCCGGACGTGTTTTCCAGTTCTTTTTCCTCGTTTACCGATACAGGTCAATTTAAAGTGTCGCTTTTTTGATACGTACGCGGTTAATCTAAAAATCGGTTAAGAAAGAGCTCCTCGATCTTTGTTACACCTGACTTCTTTCCATCTTGAATCGTTCGACAACCATTTTGAAAAAGCTGCACCCTTCTTCTGGTCCATCTTTCAAGGCTCGATCCTTTGCGCTCTATAATTTATTTAAAATTTAATTGAAAAAATTCCATTGAGAAATTGTTTTGAAATTGGAGCGCAAAGGGTTGAGACACCCCCTTTCACGATCTTCACGAAATGGTACATGTATAAATGTATGTATATGAGGAAGAAAAATGAAGAAAGGATGAAGAGATAGTCTGTTTCTATACCGTTTAACGTTTCTTCGATCACAATCGAGCGAATTTAAGAGAAACTGTCGGGAATTTTTAGAAATGAATTTTAGCGACAGATATCACGACACACGGTCGAATTTTGATAAGCTTTTTACTTTTGCACCACTAGCTATTCTGTCCGTAACCGTTTCCTCACGTTTACACGTAATTTACCTCCGCATAAAGGTAAGAAATCGTAAGCGATGACAGGTCGATGGGTAATGAGCGATAATTAAGAGAATTTTACTGTTCCCTCGCGATTTAGACCAGCTCGATTTCGACAAAAAATAATAAAATAGGTAAGGAAATAGGCAGGTAATGTTTCTTGCGAACGAAATATAGTGGCAATACAAGCGGTTCGGCCAATAAAAATGATGGCAAGCCCTGAAAGATATAAACAAAAGCGATCTGTAACCGGTGAAAATTTATTTTTTATCAACGGCGATAACTGTACACGATCGTCTATTCACTTCGATGGAGAAACTGAAAATTCTAGAGTAAACTATTAGTGAAATTTTCATATATTACAGTCGAGTATAGTGATTTTGTACAGGTCTTCGTTTCACCTCTGTATTAGACCCTAGAAAGACAAAGATTCAAATTCGTTCCTGATGCTTTTCTTTCGATCCTGAAGGTACGAATAATCTTTTCGATAATATTCAAAGAATCCTCGTCTTTCTAGGGTTTATTTAACGAAGTTACTAGTAGAACAATCAAACTCGGGACATCCTCTTCAGAAGCGTTCTTCGCCAACTTGTCCGACAGAGTCATTACTTTTTCATGTTTCATAAAAGAGAATAAAACACGCTGTTCACGTTGATACTCACGTTGTCCCTGGGGGGGACATCCGTTATTCGATTTTCCGAATAGAGTGTAAAAATGTCGCGTGCTGTTCAGACGGGTTAACGAATTTCACCAGGAGATCTACGCTCTCTGTTAGACAATTTCCTGTTCTCGAACCGTGACGTAACGAAGAGAAGGATGAAGAGGACGAAAAGGGACAAGTGAATGCTTAAGAGAGACTATACACAGCCACTTAAGCGCGATAATTAAATAGCAATTTAATAAAACATCGATTTCTCGTTACATCGAGAAACGGCACTATCATCTTATAGAACGAGTGTTTGTTCCTTCCGGTATGGCCATGGACTATAGTCGTTTGCTTGGCTCTACGAACCGAGTATAGTCGAATCGAAGTGACAGATCGGCTAGAATTAACGCTTGGCACAGACTACACCGCGTGTCGGCTATAGTCATTTAGATAAGACTATAGTTAACGGGTCAATCAACTTTGTAATTGACTATAATTCATCGTAAGTCGTTGCAAGTTGCAATTACAAAGAGTGGATTGATTATAGTCACTCGATAGTCACTTGTTACTGACTATAACTTCCTACACCAACTGGATGACTATACTCTGGACGTTATTGCGGTCATTCGTGTCCAATTATAGTCACTCATCTGTGACTATAATCAGTTACCTCTATGAAGAATATAATTAAGAACTGCTCGAGTTTATCTGTTAACTATAGTCATCGTCGTTGGGGTATTTCAGGGACTGTAAGTCGACTATAGTCGATCACTACTATCCGCTTAGTTAAGCCAGCAGTTGAGGATAGTCAACGATAAGTACATATAGTGAAGGACTCGTTGACTATAATCAATCGTGTCTCTATGCTTTACTTAAGCTCGCGTGCCGACTATAATTAGCAAAGCAGCGCACTTTGTCCGCTTACCGGCTATAGTCGATGGCTTCAATCCGATCACCATCGACGCGTACACCTGTTTAGTGAGTTGATGATATAAAAATTAAAAAAAAAAAAGCAAAAACAAAATAATGAAACTATCGGTAATTCTAATGAGTTGTAACAGCCTCTCGTTTTTACTTGTACATGTTATTTAATGTAAAGTAAAGTGAAGAATGAAAACGTCCATAATCCACGATTTAATCATCGTCAGTACTATACACCATGAAAAAAAAATTTAAAAAAAAAAGTAATTAAAAAACTGTACGCCATACCGTGACAGGGCTACCGTTACTCACAACTATATTATATTAGGGAAAAAGAAATTGTGTTTATATATACATATTACTTATATACATAGGTACTATCGCGGATAAGCAGTTGGACAATGACTTAAAATCGAACACGAACGAGGATTAGCGTAATTGAAGACGACACGGTGAATCGAGGTGAAAGGAAGAAATAAAAAAAAAAAAAAAGAAAAGAAAGGATTAATTCCGTGTGGCTGTGCGAGAGATAAAATGGAGTGCCTGATGCGTGCGAGATTAAAAAAAAAAAGACAGTACTTGTACGTGATTGCCGGATAATGAAAAGACGAAGAGTTTTAGTGGTTGGTAGGTATTAAGGGTGGGGTTTAAGAGAATCCGAAGCATGTACATACATATATATGTATGTAATGTATATATACAGAGCGCATATATATGGATATGCATATGTATGTATAGGTAATTAACGCGGCGACACTATATGCGTTATGCAACAAAGTAAAGAAAACAACAAAAAAAAAAAAATTAATAATAATAACAAAAAATAGCTCTTGCTACGATTGCTATATTCACGAGATTGTCACCTGACCTCTTCGAGTTATTAAAAAAAAAATAAATAAATAAATAAAACGATGTTCTATGCAATCTTAAAATGACAACCGACGAACAAGACGAGCAACATCGTTCGCTTCGCTATCGTTCAATTGTCGGATGTGTTTTCAGTTTTACACGGTTCGCATTGAGAGCCAGCCAGATATCGGTAACTGTAGAAATATCAATGGATGTGTTTTATGCGAGGATCGAATACCTCCGTTTGTACGGGGGTCCTTTATGATATTATTATTATTATTATGATTCTTATTATTATTATTATTATTATTATTGTAGATTTTGTGGTTTATTTAAGAAATAAAACGATAACGTTAACAGACTAAGATTTCATTAGAAGAGAATTGGAGGGAAGGAAAGTGTCAAGCAACACATGAATCAACTCAACAACAAGTTTATTTTTGTAAAATACAAATGGTAAATATTGGAGATAAATGGAGAGGATTTCTTTCAGATGGAGGCAATCCTTGGGAAAAGTTCAAGTTCCAAACGCGACGTCTGGATGATTGAATCCAACAGGAATAGTCGTTGGGATTCAGGAAACGATTGTCTAATTCCATTAGTATAACTGGTGTAATTAGTTTCCTATGCGACTGTCGACGACAGCGTTTGTCAAATGTCGAATTTAAAGAAAAGAGAATTGAGACCTAACTCGAACATCCAACACTGATCCTTTCCCATCGTTTTTCAAACGCATGATCATATCTTTAAGATGAAAGGAACTATAGCGACTTGTTCGTCAACCGAGGAGAACTTTCCTTATCATGGCGCCGCTGACCACTTCGTCGCCATCCCGCGACTCCACGCACTTCCTGCTGCAGAGGTACTGCAACAATGGCAGACGATATTTGCCACAGAAATCGACGAATTTCACGTGTTCCACTCTGTTATAGAAGAATACACCTAGAACAGAAAGATCAACAGATTGAAATCGTCGAACGACGTACCCTGTACGAATGAGATAGCCATTAATGCATCTTAACAGTGATTCAGAAAACAACAATCAACGTGACACTCTCCGTCGAGTATTATCGCATGATTTGTGAACTTCTTTTTTATCATCGTCTCGCATACTTAAAAGAATCGGGTACGATACAATGGTGGTCGAACGATGATGCACGCGATGGTAATAGAGTAGAATCACTGTCGCTGCGATTGTTACCGATAGACCTTTGAACTTTGAACACAACTAGCCGCTGACCTTTACACTTCGGATTGACGCAACGATGACCGCTGTTTAGATACTCCACTAGGTTTTTCGGTAAGCTCTCCTCGTCGTACCGAATGTCGGCAGTCTTGATCACTCTGGCAGCCAGTTCCAAAAGGGATGGAGGATTGTGCGTCATGTCCGATACGAATCTTACTACCAGTGGATTATCTCTTAACGATAACTAGATGAACACAAGATAAACGAATCGTTAGTTTAATATTCGAGTTCCTTCAGTAATGACGCATCGGGTGTGTCATACGTTGTTCACAAGACACAACGCACCAGGTGCGTCCTATGTCTAAATAAAGTGCTACCTCGGTTAAACACTTCAAAGTAATAATTTCAGTCGGCAGTGTTCTAAGTCTGTTTTTATGAAGTAACAACGATTTCAGGTTCGTCAGCTTCGCTATGGAGCTAGGTAAATTCTCCAGCATGTTATCGCATAGTACCAACGCCTGGAGACACTTCAGCTCGCCTAACGTGGATGGAACCTCTGTTAACCTGTTGCCTCCCATCGATAACACTTGCAATCTGAAAAATATCACGAACCCTTTGTCCTGGGAATACCGAGTCAGCTATTCAACGTTAAGTAAGATCGTCTCGAACCTTTGCAATTTCCATACATCCTTGCTAACGTCACTGATGTAATTTCCACCCAGGTAGAGGTACTTCAGCTCGGCGATTTCGAGAATTTGATCCGGGAATTCCGTCAGTCTATTCCCACTGAGATTCAACTCCCTGAGACCCGACAGATTCTCGAAGCATTTCGGCAGAGAATCGTTTGTCAGGTTGTTGTGTTTCGCCACCAGACAGGACAACGGGCAGTCCCCAAGAAAATCCGGCAGTTCGTTCAAGCCGCAGTTCGATATGTCCAAGGAATTTAAGTTCGTGAATCTGACGATGTTCTGCGGAATGTTGGCCAGCCGGTTCTGGTGGAGTAACAGCGTGTCCACTTGCTGCGGACACTTGGCGTTCACGAAATGGTCGTTCAGCACCTGGGTGTCCAGCATCAAGTAGGACAGATCCAGCGTCTTCGCGCTGGAATCCGAATCGCTGGAGTCTGACGTGTAATTCTCCATGAATGGCGGCTGGAAATTTGTGAAAACAATGTTAGAAAAGGTATTTCTTTATAACACTGTTTCAGACCTCCAGGTGTAACTTATATTCGTTACACTTTATTATTTTAATAATTTATTAACGATGCTCAAACGGTATACCTATACTACTGAAATTTATTTAATTTTCTCAGCGAAGTAAAATTTTTACTCTTCCCCTTGCCACGGACAGAAGCAGAAGGAAGTCGAACGTTCCAGGAAGAAGAAGTCTAAAGAAGTGAACTCGGTTGAAAAAGCAAATAACTGTACGATATTTGCTCGGTTAAACAAAGAATTTTTGTTCAATTCAATTTCTTCGTTCGTCGGCTTATCACTTGCACGCGCAAACACTGTGTGTGCAAACAGTAATCACGACGAATTTTTATATAGAATACGATGCCAGTTCCCCACCGATATTTAAGTCACATTTTACCGATCTATCAATCGGATATCTTCTCTCGTGTGCATTGCATTGGAGATAAGTGAAATTGGAAAAATTTGGAAACGTTCGAAATGATAAAAATGATGATATTTCAACGATGCTCGTAATTATTTATCGTTCATTAATTTTTAATTTCACCGTTCGATAGATATATTTAGATAAATTATCACTGCTAGCAAAGCATGACTAAACAAATAGGCGGGCAACAACTTTCATTAACTTATTTATCAACGAAGATGCTTTACATTTCGTTAGAAATAAAAAAAAAGAAAAATAAATGATAAACATATTTATCAGCAATGACTGGCGTTATGTCGATAGATATGATAGATCCTTCAATTCCAAGAAATCATTATCATAGTCGTTTGATATTCTAAAAAATTTCATTGGTCAGGTAGCATCATTTTCTTTGTATTGTTTCATGATATGCAAAATTTGTTTATCTTTATTGCTTTTATATCCAATGTTACATAAATGCATGTATCTTAACGATGCCGATAACAACGATGAAATTAATACTAATTTTATGATTATCAATCGAAGTTGATTCACAAAAATGGCACACAGTTCAAAGGTGGTCTAGTCTTGAACTATTTGAACTCGCTCGTATTTAATGTAATTGTAAAAAGATTTCAAGATCATTCCGTTTCGTTGTTCAGTATATGTTTTTAATATTGCAGCTGCGTTTATGGTATCGCGATAAGTCATTCACGTGTACATTACACTGTGTATAATTACACACAGCAGTTCCATACGAGTCGTGCAAATGATCAGACATTAAAGGATTTACCATATTAAAATTGTATTGATAAAACACTTTTTTGTTTCAGATAAAGTATCAATGCTTAACGTCATTAAACGTACTATAATGAAATAATGAAAAATCTTTCTACATTGAAATAGCATGGATAAAACTCTTTGTTGAAAGTTTAATTTTGTTTTGAAATCAATCGAGACCATCGTTAGAATCGTTGGTCAAATCAAGGTAAACGACAATCGATTCATGCTATATATATTTTTTCAAATTATGACTTTAATTGCAACGAAGTGTTCTGTTCTTAACGAGCCACTGTATATGTAAACATTTTTCCGATAACGGCAATAATTCAGACAGATAATTCTTCTACGCTCTGCAGAGACTACCGTGTTATCAAGGACAAATTTAACGCACAAAAAGAGTTCGTGTCGGAGGATCTTGAACCTAAGAGTTCTCACGTGACTTCCGCTAATATCAAGAGGGAATCACCAAAACAGGCTTATGATGTGATTAAAAGCGACTTTCGTGCGATTTTACTTTAAATAATTTCTATAGTGTGGGATAACCCGATGCGATCTTACCTAGATGTTATTACACTTTTCCTTGATCGTTACAAAACGTTTCCCCCCTTTTTATTCTTTGAAAAATCGTTCAGAATTTCGCGGTACACTCGTTCACTGATCACGAGAAAACTGGGGCGCACGATCAGCTCGAAATGATGCATGGACGAGCGCGAGATCGGAGACTGAACTACATCTTCTGCTATCAGTTCCCTTTATAAGTTGCTTCAGAAACACTTGTCATCGCGAACGAAATCACACAGTGCTGTTATAATAAAGCGAGAGACGCCGTTGCAGAAAATTTGGATTATTAGTCGGGAGAATAATATTTATATTGTATGGAGTATTCGGAAACTCAACCTAACCTGAATTTACTGAAGCAACTTTCTATACCGCAGTTCACCAGAGTCCATAACTGCGAAAAGACCAGTTTTCGTTCTTCGCGCTTCTCCAGTGCGCATCTTCGCCCTGATTGGCGATACTTCCAAACGAAGTGGAAAGCGATTAGCAGAGAGCTCGCTGCGTTCCCCCACCATTTTCCAACCTGCGCGTCGCAGTTATGGACTCTGGTGAACTGCGGTATATATATATTTTGTGTGGACGGGTAACTTCGTGTTTGCCTATAAAAAAAAAGTATTATGATAGAACGAACAGCAATACTTAAGAACGATTGTCTTAAACATATGTGAATAAATATATTTCCGATGAATGAGGATTAGTTTTTGCTCTTTAATTCAACTAAGGGTTGTAGATTGAAATTTGAGGGTTATATGTATACCAGAATGATCACTTGTGCTTTCTAACCTATATTATACTGATACAGTGAATGGTGAAATTTCGCGTTTTTAATGTTTTTAATGTTTTTAATTACCTTGAGATTTATTTAAATGGCGATTTTCAACAAGGTCTTATGTTTACGTCAATTACAATATTTATACATAAATGTTAGAAGGTTGTCTAACTACGACAAACGACGTGATTTTCAATTTTGTGATGATTTGAAAGACAAATTTTTAGATATACTAATAAAACCCAATAGTATATCAAATGAAACCTGGGAAAGTATAAGAAAATATGGAGTGGAATTAACTAGTCGTAATGCAGAGGTTGTTGATTCTATGATTTTCGAAATATTGAGAAAAGAAAACTGTCTAGACGCAGGATTGAATTATTATAAATTTCTAAAAACCAATAATTATAATTGTTCTATTATTGCTGCAAAACATTATTTGTTATTATCTCAATTAAAGGAAACACTTACAGATGCAGAGAAAACAGATATTTTAAATCTTTGCAAGGAAGTTAAAGAGCAGCATAAATTTCTACCTTCATTTATAGCTCAAGTTATTATTCGAAGCTTATGTCGACTAGACAAATGGGAGGAAGCCATTGATACTATAGAACAATTTGAGAAACATGATTCAACATTAATGACACATGCGTATCATACAGTGATTGAATATTTATTTAAAAATAATAAACCAAAGCTAGGATCCAAATATATGTTTATTTATATACAAAAAGGCGTGCGCATTGATGATAATCTATACAGTCTTTATTTAAAATATTGTTTACAAGAAAAAGATACATTTAATAACAGAATTGAGAAATTATTTTCATACTGGAGGAAATATGGTGCTATACCAACTAAAGAAACTACAGATGAATGCATAAAAGCTTGTAATGAAGCTGGTTGGTCAGCACAAATAGTAACTGTATCAAAGTAAAAAAATCTTTTTGAGTATTTACACAGGCACTTTTAAAAGTTGTATATTTTAACTTTTATTTTTCATTTAGCTTACAATGTAGTGCATGTCATGAGATGCTAGAGGAAACACAGTTGTCTGAAAATGAGATCAAACGTTTGTTTGAAGCAGTAAAAAGTAATGTAATTACTGATAATGCATATAAGGTATCTGACCCACAAGAATTGAAAAAGTTTGAACAATTTATGATGCATAACAAACCATATGACTTTGTTATTGATGGATTAAATTCTATAAAATATGTAAATAGTATGAACACTGTAAGAACTAAATTTATTCATAGCAATAATGTATTTTACTATAATATAAATATTATCTATATATTTCAGTTAGAGAGAATGATTAGAAAGTTAAAACATGAGGGCAACAGAATTCTTGTCATTGGAAGACATCATCTAAAGAAATCACAAAAAATAGGAAATATGAAAAATTATGCAGATTTTTTCTTTGTGAATAACATGTAAGCATTATAATAATACATACTATACTAATGTTTGACACAAATAGACAGCAATTATCATATTTTAATCTTTCAGGTCAAAGGATGATGCATTTATATTATATGCAGCATTGTTAAGTGGAAAAACTAATGTTATCTCTAAGGATTTGATGCATCAACATAAATTTACCTTTCATAACATTGAATTAACCATTCTGTTTAGAAGGTGGCAATTGAGACATCAGTACTTTTTTGATACAAAATCAAAAAATTTAACGCAACTAAGATTAATACATCCTATGAGCGAATTTGCTCTAAAGATAAACAATTGTTGGCATATTCCATATAATAATTTTTCACCTCATTATTTAACCAAACATTACACAGTTGATTGGGCTTGTTTTAAAATGCCCACTTAGTACGAGTTTGTATTTTTATAATTCTTATAAATAAATATATAAACAAATTTATTATTAAGGTGATGCGAGCGTCAAAAACTTTACCGACAGTCCCTAGAGAAATCCCTAGACGCGAGTTTTCAAATTACGTCCTCATTTCTAAACAGAATGTAAAAAAATTTGAGGGACGCGTTCAGAAGGTTCTAAAGAATATTTGTCTGGTCCTTACTGTTTGTCAACGGTCAAGAAAATGGCGGATCGGACTCACCTGCATTGATTTATTCGTAATATAAACATTTCTGTTAATCGTATGTCCAAATAGGGACTGATATTCTTTGAGTCGGATAGAATAAAACGAGCACCCAAGGGATGATGTACAAGTTTCCAGGTAGAAGTAATTTGAAAACTACGATTTCGTTGATGCGAAAGACGTCAACAAGGTAAAACAGACCAGAAATTTAGTTTCTCGTTCATTCTGTAGGGCGCAGTTCGTTCGTTTGATTAATAAACAATTGTAAAATTAAAAATAATAATTAAATAATTTTTAATGGAATAATTAAACAAAATTTTGCAATATACCCACGCGGAAATGTAAAGAAATAAACAATTTAAATAGATATAACAATAATTTGATTAATAAACAATTGTAAAATATAAAATAATAATTAAACAAATATTAACAAATATCAGATAGAAATAGTTAAATCTGCGGAACCGGTGAAGCGGAACGTCATGCTTGATTGCGCGCGCAGCGCGCCGGTACAAGCGCGACCTGGAGAGAGGTCAAATCTAATCAGTCTTATCGCGACCGCCAAAGGATACGGATCGAGCTGTCAAACATATACCGGTACGGGTTGACACCATAGATATTCGTGCATGGATTTATTAGTGTGCCACCTCAAGTGTTACTGTGTGTGCCTATGGTGTTTCCTATAGTGTTTCCCATGTGTTTTGGAATATTTTTACGGATATATTAGTGCGACTTCTGGTTTGGTCACCCATGTGTTCTGTCATTTTTATACAAGTGCATTAGTGTGCTGTGTGGTGTGGTACCCCATGTACCTGCATGTGCTTTATTGTGTTTTATGGTGTGGTTTCCTTTGTGCTTTGGCATATATTTACGGATTTATTAGTGGGTTTCATGGTGTGGTTTCCTTTGTGCTTTGGCATATATTTACGGATTTATTAGTGGGTTTTATGGAGTGGTACCCTATGTGTTCTGGCATATTTATACGGATTTATTAGTGGGTTTTATGGAGTAGTACCCTTTGTGTTTTACTATAATTTTGCAAATATTTTATAGTGTTCGATGGTTTTGATCTTCGAGTGTTTTGGGATGTATTTGCATGTGTTTTACCGTGTTTTATGGTGTAGTTATTCCCATATAGTTTTGCATGCATATTTTTGAATTATCCTATGTATTAGCATATTAACTACAACAAATTGAGAAAAAACATATATCGTTCAAGAATCGTGATTTTTATGCTTTCAGATGAGTGCTTTGGCCAGTGAGGATACCGTTTCTTTGACGAGCCAACAGACGAGCTATGGGTCAATCTAACAATAAGATGCGTGGCGAGTGCAGTGGTGCAAGTCAACGATCTGTGAGTCGCATGCTTTAAAGTTCCTCCGGTTCCCATCATGTCGTAGGACGAATGGTCCGTAGCGACACGGGAATTGGTTGTAATTTTTATTTTTTGAGCGAGCATAGTGACCCACGAATATCACTGTATCATTTTATACAATGATAATCGTGCAAATTGCTTTTTTGTGTATTTTATGCCTTAACTCAGGATAGGGTTTTCTTGTACATATTTACATATATAGATTTCGAGTTTAAAAATGTAGAGAAATCGGATGACCCTCCGACTTCACAATACACTTTTTTTTTTATATGTACAAGAATTTATTTCGCGAAGAGCGAATTTCAATATCAAAGTAATAAGCATGAATACTATTAATTATTATAACTACTTACTTTGATAACGAAATCGCTCTTGAAATTGAAACGTTTTTCCGATTTTACTTGTGAAATTGGCATTAGTTTAGTATATGGGCTGGCCCCTAGGGGGGTCGGTATTTGCTCTTCAAGCATTGTATAAAGTTCCCCTTTCGAACTTGAAATTCATTCTGTCATCTTCACAGTTCCCGATTCTAAACACTCATCATTCGCACTTCAGCCTCACGAACTCTATCACATAATCATTTATCCACTCGCATACCCTTGTGTAGTGAAATATTACCCCGTTAGGATTTTCAAGTTAAAGTAGTGTTGCGAAAAATTTTCAACGCGAGAGTAAATATTACCCCGTTAGAATTTTCAAGTTTAAGTAGTGTTGCGAAAAATTTTCAACGTGAGAGTAAATATTACCCCGTTAGAATTTTCAAGTTTAAGTAGTGTTGCGAAAAATTTCCGGCGCGAGAGTAAATATGACTATACACTGACTAGTATTCGGTGGGAATCCTTTTGGTTTTTATTTGATAAAATTAGTTACAAGGATTCCGCGGCATAAGACCGTGAACACCACCTCATGGGAGATAAAACCATGCATTACTAGGCCTTTGCAGGCACAGCCATAGAGTACGGAACATTTAAGTATGTTGCATCCCATACGCTAAGCTGTCTTAAAGTCCTTTTGCCTATACTATGGGTGGGTAGCGCTCTTAGCGAAGGGGTGCACCCTGCCTGGCCCTAGAGCCTTAAACAGGCGGGGTGGGTGGTATGTAGCGTCGGGCGTAAGTCCAGGGGGCCTAAGAACCTCTGTTGCCAGCTGATATTAGCAGTGGACGAATGTTGTGTCATATTTGCTCTATTTTGCTTTTCAGTATTTGCTCTTCAAGCGTAATTTAAAGCTCCCCTTTAGTCATGTTGCTAGATCAGGATTTTCTATTTTAATTAGTGTTGCGAAAAATTTCCAGCGCGAGAGTAACTATGACGATGCACTTACTAGTATTCGGTGGGAATCCTTTTGGTTTTTAAACTCAATGTTTTATTTAATTAATCAAATTAGTTACAAAGATTCCGCGGCATAAGACCGTGAACACCATCTCATGGGAGATAAAACCATGCATTACTAGGCCTTTCAAGGCGCAGTTTAGAATGTGGCGCACATCCATATGTTCCATTTGATAAACTGCAGTCCTTTTGCCTATACTATGGGCGTCCGTCAATCTGACACCGTTGGATGCAACGTGTTGGACGGGCGGGTAGCGCTCTTAGCGAAGGGGTGCATCCTTTCCTAGGCGGGGTGGGTGGTATGTAGCGTCGGGCGTAAGTCCAGGGGGCCCGAAAACCTCCGTTGCCAGCCGATATTAGAAGTGCACCATTTTTGCGTCATAGTTGCTCTATTTTGCTTTTCAGTATTTGCTCTTCAAGCATTGTAGAAAGCTCTTCGTTCGTACTTCAAATTCATTCTGTCACGTTCACAGTTCACGATCCTAAACACTCATCATTCACACTTCAGCCTCACGAACTCTATCACATAATCATTTATCCACCCGCATACCCCAGTATAGTGAAATACTGTTAGATGTTTATGTACTAGTCATGTTTTTAGATCAGGATTTTCTATTTTAATTAGTGTTGCGAAAAATTTCCAACGCGAGAGTAAATATGACAATGCACTGACTAGTATTTGGTGGGAATCCTTTTGGTTTTTAAACTCAATCCAATATTTTATTTATTTAATCAAATTAGTTACAAGGATTCCGCGGCATAAGACCGTGAAACACCATCTCATGGGAGATAAACCCATGCATTACTAGGCCTTTGCAGGCGCAGCTTTAGAATACGGAACATATGAAAATATGTTACCATATTCTAAACTGTAGTCCTTTTGTCTATACTAGGGGCGTCCGTCAATCTGACACGTTGGATGCAACGTGTTGGACGGGCGGGTAGCGCTCTTAGCGAAGGGGTGCATCCTGTCCTGGCGTTACGACGTCCAGGCGGGGTGGGTGGTATGTAGCGTCGGGCGCAAGTCCAGGGGGCCTAAGAACCTCCGTTGCCAACTGATATTAGCAGTGCACCATGTTTTATGTCATAGTTGCTCAATTTTGCTTTTCTGTATTTGCTCTTCAAGCTTTATATTTGCAAAGTCGAGTCACTTTTATTAAAAATAAAACCCCCTGGGGGGGCTAGCCCATATACTAAATCGGAGCCGTGAAATTTCGCCGATATTCTTACTTTTAATAAAGTGAGAATATCATCTTTAGTTTTTGCTAATCATACGTTTTAGCTTAGGCATTTCAGCACACATGAAGAAAACTGGTAGGTGAAAATACCTTTGGCCTTGTTCATTTTTATGCCCAAAGCTCATTCGGGTACTTAGATGTACTCGCGTGGGCGGAGGGCGGTGGACAAGGTTTAGTTTTAAGTGTAATACATTTTGGCGACTGACAAAAATAGTGAACCAATAGTGAACCACGATAGAAGTTCCACATGTGTGTGTGTGGTTAGGATGTGGGATTTGTATCGTTTATTAACAATCTTAACTTACTATAACATTACAAAATACTTATCAAGAATAAATTGAAAAATTTTTACATTAGATAATTGAATTGAATACCAAAATGAAATGTATTACTTTAGCATAATGTTCACTATTATTTGTCAGTCGATTTCAGCAAAAAGGTATGATTTTATTAGAGTGTGAAAGTTGAATTGAACTCGGGTGTCGGAGGCGTCCCGGGACGTTCTCCCTAGGTGTAGGCATTTTTGCACCCGGGTGGTTGTATGAGAACCGTGGAGTGAATTTTTGTGAGAATGATTTTTGCCCTTTTTTAAATATAGCGATAGGCAGGCAGGTAGTTTACTTCTGGTGTGATTGAGTTTAGTTTATAAGTAGGCAGGGCCAGAGCAAGCTTTCATGTTTCTCTTCGTATTCTCCTCTAATACGTGAGAAGCTTGTATCTGGGGTTGGGAAACCAAAAATCAAGAGAAAAGATGAAAATGCAATTTAATTAATTTATCAATTAATTAATTTAGCATTCTCTCTTGATTTTTTCAAGGCCAAGCCTTATTAGTTTGTAAGTCGTAATCGTGGTACTAGACCCGATTGCAAAAATGAAGTATTAAAG